ACTTTTCTTTTTATAGTCTTTTTATCTATCTACACTGCATTTAGAGACATCTCCTCAGATCTGCCTTCTAGCTTACTGATTATTTCTTCAGTTCTAGTTTTGTTTTAGCTCATCCTCTGAATGTTTAACTCTAATTATTGTTTTTCATTTCTATTAGTTCTCTTTGATTTTTCATCAAGTCTATGTTTTAATGCTTTCTTTTCTCATATTTTCTATTTATTGTTATATAGTTTCATGATGTAAAAAGAATCCCTATTTTTTAGTTTTCATTTGATCATCCTCATATTTGGTATTCTTGGTCAATTGTTACAGCAGTTTCCTGTGTTTGCATAGCAGATTACTTTCTCTCTCCTGTTTTATAATTTCTTACGTAGCTATTTTTAAGGAGATTGCCATTATTCCACCCTGGAGAAAACTGTGTAAGTAGTAAAGTGCCCCTCAAATGCCTTTCTTTGCTTCCTGCAGTAGTTTCAACTTGGATATCACCAAGTTGGGACCAGTTTTTTGTTAACTCTTTGGAATACAGTTTCATAGACCCTTTTGGTAGTATGAACTTGCACTCCAATCTCATATGAGATATAGGCCCAGAGTATTGAGTTTTTCACAGAAGCCCTTTTAAAATCCCTATATTTAGAGATCTTGAAATAAAAGAAATTTGCTTGCTCATTAGTTAGAATTTTACCCTTTCACAGAGGAGTGTAGCCCTTCTAGGTCCAGGCCTTTATCCAGAACACTGACTCACTATTCCAATACCTAACATAGGCCCAAAGCCTAATCTTATGTCCCCAAATTAAACCCCAAACCCATAGATTAATGAGACTGATAACCTCCCATAACAGTTGCATCATATTAGCATTTACTTTTAGTTTTTGTTTTGGCCTCTGAGAGTTTTCTGTTCTCCTTACAAACTCAGCTATGTGTTTAAAGCAATTGTTATATTTTATCCATTATATAAGAATGTTTGAGGGTATTTGAACTGTGTTGTTGGGTATTGGGAGATAATTGTCAGGTTACCTTTGACTGCTATGTTGTTAGAACCAGAAGTATATACATTGCTTATTTTTGGTTCTTGTTAGTAGGGGAATGCCTTATTGCAAACAAAATTTTGTCCTCTTCAACTAAGAAACATCACAAAATATAGTTTATAAATACAGGGTCATATTAAACTGTTCTGCTTCTATAGGTAATTATCAATATTAGAATGAAAAGTTATCCCAGAAATAGATTCCTATACAGTGACCTTTAATGTGTCATTTACCTACTGTGATAAATCACAGACATGAATGAATGTTTATCTGCATTAGGAATGATTAATGGCCTGGAAGTATTATAAGAGATTCATATTTGCTTTATGTAAAAGATAACTTGTTACAAGGCCAAAGTGCACTGCTTTTTAATCTTCCATAAAGTTTGTGATGTTGCAAATGTTTTCAGCCCTACGTAGACTTCTTCAAGCAGCAACAAGGAGGAAGGACAACCCTCAACTCTTAAGTGTACATAACTCTTAACGGACAGATTTTTTAAGGCAAAAGAGATGGCAAAATATGTAAGAAGATATTTTTGGAAAAGATTGTCAAGTTGTAAACAAGTTACAGATGTGACAAATTTACTGATTCTTATATTCTTTATTGCATTACTTAGAATTTTTCTTACATAAACGATTTCCTTTTTAAAACTTCCTTATGCAATATATATATGTGTGTGTGTATATATATATGTGTGTGTGTGTGTGTGTGTGTGTATATATATCTCTCTGTGGATAGTATTCATTTTTCCAAGCAGCGAATCCTGATTCCTCGCAGACCTGATTCCTCTCCCACCATACTTACAGTTATGACTGAATCTTGCTGGTTTTACTGTATATTCCAAGTAATGAGTGATTACTGAGATGACTGCAGTATATGTCGAGAATTGTAGAATTTAATTATCTATGTGACATTGGACACTTTTTTTTTAGTATTTACAAGATATATTTTCTTCTTTGGCAGAGAGAAAACATCCGACTAAAGATTTACAGGAGCCCTATAGTTCTCTAATCTATGAATCCTTTAAATAAGTGAGAGAAAATTCTGTTTGCCAGCTAAATTACAAATATTTCCATATTATATTTATTTGTGTTTGGAAAAAGCCTTTTAATTATACTTTATTTTACTTTTACTTTATTTTTCTTTGTTTCAATTCATCACGTTATTTCCGTGGCTTTTTCTGTTTGTATCATTCGTTGATTTACTGAGCAGATACTTACTGAGCATCTACTTTTTACCCAGCACTATGATAGACTGGTGTTGTGATGCAAAGTTGAACATGATACACAGTGATTGCTTTTATGGAACTTAGAGTCTAGTGGAGCGGTGCATTGAGATAAATTATGCAATAGGGAAATATACTATGGTATTGCTGAGCAGACACAAGGGAAAACACTGACCTCAAACTTGGAGGGATTGGGAACCTGGAGGAAATGCCACTTAAGCAAGACCTGAAATTGTAGGTCAAGGGAGAGTTGGGGAAAGGAGGCGTGGAGGTGAGAGAGAATGTGATACCTCTGAGGAGCTGGGAGAGATATACTGCTTCTAATATTCCTGTAACAGAACAGAGGGACACGAGCTCTAAAACAGAGGCTGGGTAAGGAGGGCAGTCTGGTCTGTGGTAAGGGGTTTCACTTTAAGAGTTTTAAGCAATACACTTTCATTTTCCTTTTCCATTTTAGAGTGAACTTGCAGGTGCAGTTTGGAGAATAAATTGGAGGGGGGAAATCAGGATTTTATAATACAATATGGGTACAGTAGTCCAATATAATCCATCAGCAGTGAGGGTGTAGGAGAGCAGACAGATTTGAAAGATATTAGGTAAAAACCCTGTGGTTAACTAGAGGTGGATTATGGTAGAGGAAGAAGAGTCAAGAATGTCTGTGTTGACAATTCTGATGACTGAGTAGGTGGTGATGTTATTTACTGAGCTAAGGAACACAGAAGGAGGAGTGAGTTTGGGAAGGAAAATGTTGAATTCAGTTTGGGCACGTGTGGCACATTCATGTGTCCATTGGGTGGTTGGATATAAGGGTTCAGGAGAAAGATTAAACCTGGAGTTACAGATTTGGGCTTTTGTAGACCACAAATGATCATTGAAGTCATGAGAGTAGATGAACTTACTCCAGAAGATTAAGTGGAACGAGAATAGAGCAAGGCTTAGAGTAGAACTTTGAAGAAGACCAGCAGTTAAGGGATGGGTGAAAGAGGAGATGAGAATATGCTCGGAGAAGACAAGCAAAGGGCACAGTAATAATCACTGTTAGATGCTGATCAGATGTCAAGGAAGGATTGAAGTACTAATTGAATTTAGCAACCTTGAGGTAGATCATGATCTGGTTGAGAATGATTTCAGTGAAATTGTGAATGTGTAAGTAAGCACTGTACAGTTTCTTTGGTGAATGAGTGAAGATGAAATAGTAGAGACAGTAACATAGACAATTCTTCATAAACAGGAACAGAGATATGTCAGCTGAAAATCAGTCTGGGGTAGAGGGGTTTTTTGTTGGTGTTATTGTCATTTGCTCATTCTTTACGTTTGTCTTTTCAGAATTTGCTTTTAAATGCTGTGGGAGGGGGAAAGGCAGACAGTGACAAGGCAAGAGAAAGAATAACCAGTAGAGTAAGGTCCTTGAGCATGGGTTGACAGTAGGATACATAAGTGGAGGGAACACACTGTATGAAATGGAAAGGTGGACCATGGTCAGAATCTAAATGTCTAATGTCTTTTTGTTGTTGTTGTTTGTTTGTTTGTTTGTTTTGGTAGAGACAGGATCTCGCTATGTTGCCCAGGCTGGTTTCAAACTCCTGGCTTCAAGTGATTCTCCCTGCTTGGCCTTCCCAAGTGTTGAGATTACAGGTGTGAACCACCATGCCCAGTCTGACTTATATTCAAAGATAGCACAGTTCTGAATGATGGTGGGACAAGGCATGAGAGTGTGTGGTGGTGCAGAAGTGAAGGTCAGGGGAGAAGAGGTGAAACCTTGATTGGTCAGGGTGTTGGCTAGGTCTTACAAGTGAAGTTGCCTGCGTTGATGATGGGTTGTAAGGACCGGTAAGACAGAGACTGTCCAGGAAGTGACTAGTGAAATGGAGGTGGAAGATGCAGTCATGTCCCTTAATAGTGTTCGCTTCAGCACGAATGCATTTGTATAAAAGGATGCAGAAGTAAGGGTATGCAGACAGTACTAGGGAGCAAAGCCACCCACCTTTTGTCCTGATGCTATAGCATCTGAACCATGCAGGAGCGAACAGCTTCAGCTTGAGAAGGTTGTTATTAGGTGAACTATGTTCGTTCAGTTAAGAGTAAGAAATGGAATGCCCATTTAGTGAGGACATTGAAGATGTAGGGGAAGTTTGTTTACCCACCTGCATGAGTCTCGACTGAGACTGGTAGCAGAAACAGTTGGATCTAAGATTTCTGTTTAGTTCCACAGTAGTGGGTATTCAAGAAACAAGTTTTGGTCTGAGCTCTGCCTCACCAGCTGTGAGACTGTGCATACAGTAGTTAAGTGATTTCCTTGACTTAAAACTGATTGAGGTTCAAAGAACTTGTGATATTTCAAGAGATATCCATTGGTAAAAGTCCGCTTTACTTTATTCTGTTGTCCTGTCTTTGTGTTAACAGTCATAAAAATTTGTGATACAATACAGGTTTTTAAATTTAAAGATTTGTTGTCTTAGGTAAATTTTTAAGCCTTTTTGGTTAGTACATTTAGATTTTCTCTTAAAGCCTCATGTTTATGTTCACTTCTGTTTGTTTTTTAGACCTGTTTTTTTTGTTTGTTTGTTTCTATTCTTAACTTTCTGAGTGTAGGTGGTAGAGAATGGTAATAACTGTACAGTAACTTTCAATAAAGGGAGATGAAATAGTGACATATTAGTGACATCAGTTCTCTTGTGTGTATGTATTTGTGGTGACTGTAAAGGGGACCCTGGACTTCATGAGCATCTTTCTTTCTTGGTGTTTTTCAGGGACCATGGCTAAACCTCCTGGATCATTAGCCAGAAGCAGCAGCCTGTGCCGCTCGCGCCGCAGCATCGTGCCGTCCTCGCCTCAGCCTCAGCGAGCTCAGCTTGCTCCACACGCCCCCCACCCATCACACCCCCGGCACCCTCACCACCCCCAGCACACGCCGCACTCCTTGCCTTCCCCTGATCCAGATATCCTCTCAGTGTCAAGTTGCCCTGCGCTTTATCGAAATGAAGAGGAGGAAGAGGCCATTTACTTCTCTGCTGAAAAGCAATGGTATTGGCAGTGAATAATCTACAGGGCGTGTTGGGGCTGGGTTGGGGGTAAGGTGTGAGGAGGGGTCAGGAGGAGTGGTGCATTGTTTCCGTTTTCTGTTGCTGCATATCAAGGTACCATAGACTTCGCAGCCTCAGACATCACCCGTGTTTTAGCTCTTAGTTCTGTACCTCAGAATTCCAAGCCTGGTGTGACTGGGGGTTTTGCTCAGGGCCTTAGAAGGGTAAAATCACGGTGTTGGCCAGGGTGCATTCTCATCTGGAGCTTGCAGTTCTCAAAGCTCATGTGATTGTGGTGAACTTCATTTCCTGTGGCTCCAGGACGGAGGTCCCCGTGTCTGTGCTTTCTGTCAGCCGCATGGCGGCTGCTCTCAGTTCCTGGAGGCTGCCCACTGTTCCTTGCCACAGGATCTCCATCTTCAAAGCCAGCAACAGAGAATTTCCCTGCTGTAGATTCCTCCTTTGCTTTGAGTCTCCAACTTCTGTCTCTCTGATCTCTAGACTAAAATTTCAAAGGCTCACCTGGATAGTAATCTCCCTATATTAAGATCAACTAGTTTGGAGCCTTAATTTTGTCTTCAGAATCCCTTTACAGCCGCATCTATATTTATGTTTGACTGGAAAACTTGAAGAAGGTGGGTGTACACCAGAGGCTGGGAATTTGGGAGCCGCCTTAGAATTCTGCCTGCCACAGACATGTAGGTAGATATTTTGAGATGTAACTGCTTAGAGGTCACTGGACACAGTTGACTCAGATCTCAGAGCATAAACTTGTCATGAGAACAATTTTATATGTAAAATAGAAAAGCATGAGCTTAAATATACTTGAACACAAAGAAATATCAAATATGACTGACTTAAAAATATTTATTGTCACTTAATGATTTATTCTGTTATGTGCTGGTGCTTGCTAACACATAAGCAGTATCATATGCCAAAGGTTTAAGAAAATGTCAGGAACTTAAAGGAGAAAAGTAAATTAATAACAAAATGGGCGTAGCAGCAGTGTATTTCAGTCCAACTTAATGACATCAATGCTCCATGAAACTGTTAATTTGAGGATCTCTGTTCTCGAACTGCATTCCTCTTTAAAAGCAGTATGGTATTGAGTGTTAGTTTCAGGTATTGACACTTAGTAGCTATGTGGCCCCAAAGGCTTTACCCTCTTCTTTGAGAAGTGAAAGGGAGTGGTCCACACTCTTTATCGTGTGACTCTAGGCGACATTATCATCAAATAATAATTTTTCATTCCTAACTATCTAGTAGTAAAAGAAATGTTATGATTTGCAAGTGATCAGTGCAGCATATTCCTAAGGAGATAATGCAGGTTTTGTACCCTCATTGCAGTTGGAGAATCTGATGCAGCTTTGCTTGGTTAACACTTTATGACTAGCTTTTCGTCTGTCTTTGCAGTATGAACGTAGTCACCAGCAAGATGACTTACTGACAGAACTGATCTTGTGTGGTTTCTGGAAATCAGAAGGAAAACTCGAGAGCTGCACTGTCTCATCAAACTTTCTGCATTGATGAAGCGTTCAGTTCTCATTTCAACAGCAATGTCAAAATTTCATAGCTAGCTTTCATAAATAAGAGAAGAATTTGAATTTGGAAAACTTTTCTTCCTTTTCATTTTCAGTCTCTCCTCTATTGAACCACCAGAATTCTTACAAAATAATAATGTTAAATATTTACTGATTTTTTAATGTTCTATGCCTTATGCACATATATGCTCATTTAAACCTCACTTCAAGTTTTCTTATACAAGTATAGTGTGAATTCAACTCCATGTCACTCTGGGGAAAAAAGAAATAGAAAAAATGGCATAAGTGGTACACATAGTTAAGTTCAACATTTCAAAGAGTATGTACTCTGCAAGAAAATAGAATTTGAAGTTGTATTAAATCTTATTATCCAAGTCAGATTAGTTATGCAAAAGCAGCAACACTTTGGATTCTTGTCATTACAGAATTCAAATGTTAGAACTAGAAGGTAACATTAGTGATTAATCAAATTTTCCTACTTTAACAGATAGGAAAATTGAGACCTCAAGAAACCAAGTGATTTGCTGAGGCTTTTACAACTGATTAATGGTAGGACCAGCTTAGGAACCCAAGTCTTCTGACTTAAATCAGTATTCTTTTCACACATTGTTCAGAGTTTAGAGGCTAGTTTTTAAAATATTTTTAGCCTAGCTTAGAATTTCACACACAAAGCAGCCAAGCCACATAACAGAAAAGAAAATAAATTCGTAAAATTGTAACTAAATCAGCTTCTGCTCTTTGGAAGCTGAACAGCTCCAGGGAACATGAGATATTCTGCTCAATTAATTGACAGCGATTCCAAAAAAAAGCTTTGCAGAAATGCCTCTACCAATGATTGATTTCTGAGTCTGATCATTTCCTCATACCTGAACTGCTGCTTACTTTCTGTTAGCACTACCCATTATCGAATTGTAAAAGCATTTGAGAATGATGCAGCACACGCAGGTGTATTATATGAAACCATTAGTTAGGTCTTTAGGGGGTTTTGTACCTTTTGAGAGCTTACAGTGTAGTAAAGACAATCTTCATAGACATGTGTGAGTGAAGTACATAGAAATGACTAAGCAATCTTAGTCTGTATCTAAAATGTGGTATTAACATAGAATATTCATCAAAAGTGAGTGCCAGACCTCCAGTAAATGTGTACATCAATAACATGAAAATGATAGTACTCATAGGCCATCTAAGGTAAGAGATCATTCAGTTTATTCATTTCCTAAATACGAATTTAGTCCTTGCTATGAGAGGTGCCTTTGCCAATAGCATGAGCTGCCAAGACAAGTGAGACAAGGCCCTAGCCTGGTTCCAGCTGCTGGGTTATAATCATGTGTACTCTTGCCTTTCTGTTCTGTCTTCAGCTCTGTTCCCTTCTCACACCGTATTTCTTTTGCCACTTTTTCCCTTGACTCTCCCTTTCATTTCTTAATCATTTCCTTTCATGGAGTGAACAGTATTCACCTTGGGCTCCGTACATGCAAAAGTGAATGAGACTAAGTAGTAAAGCTCTCAAGGAAAAAAAAAAGTGAGTGAGATGTGATCCCTGTTCTTTAATATCTCATTCTGTTCATTGATTCATTCACCCACCCTTCCATTCATTTGTCCAACACATATTTATGAAGTACCCACCGTGAGCTTGCCATTCTTCTAGTGCAGAGAAGTTAATAAGGCTCCTTGTCCTTATTTATTTCCTTTTTTCTGGGGATACTGCCTATAGACAAGTTAATATAAAATATCATTTTAGGTTTTGGTAAGTTTTGGGGTTGCAAACAAAGACAGGTAAAACAAAAGAGAATGCTGTTCCAGATAAGGTGGTTAGGGGAGGCAGGAGTAACCTGCATACCCTGGAGAAGTAAGCCATGTGGAGATGGAGAGTAGATAACACCAAGCAGGGGGAACAGCAAGTGCAGGGCCCTGAGGAGTCTTGAGGGTGGCATGTTACAGGACCACGAGGGAGTGTACAGTTGGAGATAGCCAGGGACCACATGTACAAGCCTGGTACTCTTTGACTAGGGCTTTGGATCTTACCCTGAGTATGAGAGAAAGCACTGGGAAGTTTCAAGTAAGTGAATGATATATTTTGCTCGAGTTTTTAAAAAATCACTTTAATGGCTGTGTGGAGAAGTAACTGGGAGGGAAGAGCGAGAATGAAAGCAGGGAGACCAGTTAGGAATCCATTGCAATCATTTAGGTGAGTTCCTGGCTGTTTCAGAGGAAGAATGGGAGCAGGGGGCGTAATAAGGAATGGTGGATTTGAGAGAGATTTGAAGGAATGGGTGATGGCATTTACTATATGTTGGTTGTGGGGTTACAAAATTTATATTTCCACTGTGGAGAAAAGGAGGAAAACATTGAAGAGTAAGAATGCTGTGAGAATTCACTGAATGTCTGTTTTTTTTTTCTAAATAGCATCATATGTTTGCCCCCTCCTCCACTGCCATACTCTGATGCACCTCGATTCCCTGCCCCCTTTTAAATTTGGTAGAACTTATATTTTAGTATAATTCCTTTCATGTATATTCCTTCCTTCCTAACAAAACTATAGCTCATCAAGTTAATGAAAAGGGAGAGGCAGTGACTAAAATTCGTCTTTTAAAATAGTGTCAACTCCGATTTAGAAAGAAACATAGTATTGAAATAAAACATAAAAGTAGCTGAGATGATAGCTGAATCACCTGTAAAATTTAACATTTTAATTTATTTGACAAAAAGAAGGTATAACTTATATTGTCTGTAGTTTGTAAGATTTCATTATTATGGTTTATGTTAAAAATCCAACATTGAGTTTTGAGAAGCCGTATTATTTAAAGAAGTAATGTTCTCATTTTGCTAAAATGTATATAGAATCGTATCATTTCCCTCTTTTAAATTTCAATAAGCAACGAAAGTTGTTTTAGTTAGAATGTCTGCTAGTACTCTTAAGAACATACTGATTTAAAATTTGTACCTTTGTTTGTGTTTCATTCAGGGAAGTGCCAGACACAGCTTCAGAATGTGACTCCTTAAATTCTTCCATTGGAAGGAAACAGTCTCCTCCTTTAAGCCTCGAGATATACCAAACATTATCTCCTCGAAAGATATCAAGAGATGAGGTGTCCCTAGAGGACTCCTCCCGAGGGGATTCGCCTGTAACTGCGGATGTGTCTTGGGGTTCTCCCGACTGTGTAGGTCTGACAGAAACTAAGAGTATGATCTTCAGTCCTGCAAGCAAAGTGTACAATGGAATTTTGGAGAAATCCTGTAGCATGAACCAGCTTTCCAGTGGCATCCCGGTGCCTAAACCTCGCCACACATCGTGTTCCTCAGCTGGCAATGACAGTAAACCAGTTCAGGAAGCCCCAAGTGTTGCCAGAATAAGCAGCATCCCACATGACCTTTGTCATAATGGAGAGAAAAGCAAAAAGTCATCAAAAATCAAAAGCCTTTTTAAGAAGAAATCTAAGTGAACTGGCTGACTTGATGGAATCCCATTCAAATGGCATCTGTAAACTATTATTCCCCGCCCTCCACTCCCCACTTTTTTTTGGGTTTCTTTTAATTTTAGGAATGTAACTCCATCGGGGCTTTCCAGGCCAGATGCCAGAGTGGAACGTCCAGGAGGGCGACTGTCTACTGTCTGCTTATTTAAGTGACTATATATAATCAATTCATCAAGCCAGTTATTACCGAAAAATCATTGAAATGAGACAGTTTACAGTCATTTCTGCCTATTTATTTCTGCTTTGTTATTAGTGATGTATATACAACATTTTGTTGAAAGCCACTATGGACTTACAAGCTTTAATGGACTCGTAAGCCAGCATGGGCTTGCAAAAATTTTCTTGTTTACCAGAGCATCTTCTTATCTTTCCACAGAGCTATTTACATCCTGGACTAAATAACTTATAAGAAGTAAAACTAATTGCACTACTGTTTTCCAGACTGGAAAAAAAAAAAAAATCTCTGCGAGTGAAACTGTGTAGAGTTTATAAAATGACTATGGATAGGGGACTGTTTTCACTTTTAGATCAAAATGGGTTTTTAAGTAGAACCTAGGGTTTCTAATTGACTTGATTTCTGGAAATGAAAACCCACGCTTTTACTATGGGAAGCTTCTTTAACTGCTTTTACTATTGTGAAGTTTCAAGTCCCGCTGTAAAGATCATGTTTTGTTTTCCCCAGGGCTTTCACTGTGATTTACTGCATTGCAGGCTGTATGATAAAATATACATAATTTAAAGAGAGAAGGCTCTTGATTCCTTATGCAAGTGGAAGAGTTGAAACTTGATTGAAGGACTTAAAACATTCATAACCTTAAGCCGAGGTGGGGGGATATGGGGATTCAGGCAATTGTTTACACACTTTGAATAACCGCAAAGGATTTATGGTTTGTGAAAAATGTGTACTGTGGAAAAGATAATAAATTGGAGACATTATTGTGTGGGATTGTCCTGATTTTTGTTGATAACACTCCACAAAAAACACTATGTTTTCTGGAGAGCTGTGTAAGCTGTCTTGTTGCTTAATTGCAATATAAGAAATAGTGATGTTTTGGACGTAAGTTGTCAACAAATTTCTATTTTATATTGTTTGTCCTATTTTTATGTAGTTTGAAATGTATAAATGTTCTAATATCAAGATTAACAAATATAAATTTATGGTGCATTTAGATTGTGTTGTATTAATTTATAAAGTATGGTGTTCATTAAACTGGTGGGTTGTGTAAGGGTAGCTTTTATTGTTAAAAAGACAGTAGAGAGTTAAGTTCCATATAGCAACAAAGTATGTTAACATCTAGGGAGTTGCGCTTATAGCACTTTAAAAATATGCAATCATAAATGATTTGATTACTGCAATGCAGATGGATGTTTGAATGAACAACTGATACATTTTAATTAGAATACTTTTTCAGCATTATGGCTAAAATGTATGTCTAACCCAGTGCTATTTAGGTGAAAATCCTAATTGATAAACAAGAGGTTTCTTTTGAGATTTGCTTCAAAGAAATGCTTTAGTAAGAATATGAACAATTTCCTGATGTCTCCTGTAAATTGTGATTGTTTATTCTCTTTATTACTATTGTTAAAAACTTGACTGGTGTTTGTGTTGGCTGATATTTATATACTTAATAGATTGAGTTCTGTAAGGGCAAAAACGGATTGAAATGAACATAGTGTTTTGCACTAATGATAAGGTAAGATAACCTGAGAGGTAGGGTTGAGGAACACAGGGTTGAAAGCTGTTGAGGAGGGGGAAAGTGCATAAAGAACTGAAAAGGGTTCTGGAGTGTTTACTCAGAGTGAAGGGAAAACCTTAACCTTCTTTTTCTTATAACCAGACAGGAGGCGTTCTTCCCTTTGAAAATTGCAAAAGGAATGAGAACCTTGCAGTTGGATGAATAGAAAAGGGAAAAGTTGCCAGAGCACGGAGTGAAGATGGGAGGAGCTGCCAGCAAGGCCCACTGCTGCTCCTGGCTTAGAAGGGAGCTCTGGAGCAGAACCAGCTGGGGGCCGGCACTGCTGCTTAGAGTGGAGGAGGCTGGCCGAAGGGACTGTGGGTCGTTTTTAGTCAGGGAGCGCGTGCATTGTTTGTGCTCAATTTCAAACATTCATTTATAAACAAATTCAACCAAGGGATATTTACTGCTTTATGTTGCTTGTGATAATTATTTTGCATTAATGGAGTATACACATTTGTAAATTCAACAGGAAATAATTGAGTTTTGGAAAGCTACAGTAATTTCTGTGTTACATCATTTATATGTGAAAAGTTGGGCATTTCTATAAGTTTTCAAAATTATCCATTTGTTACTTTAACATTTTAAAATTACGGTGTTTTCCTGATTTTAAAAGTAATATTTTCCTTACTGTAAAAAAAAAAAGAAAGAAAGTCGATGATAGAAAAGTATAAAGAAGAAAATAGCAAGCAGGTCAAATACTGCTACCCCAAATAATCACTTTTAATATTTTAGTATGCTTTCTGCTAGATCTTTTTCTACATATTGATGTATATTTTACATAATTGAAATCATACTATATATTCAATTTTATATCATGCCTTTTCACTTAATATAAGCATTATCCCAACATCATTAAAAAACTCTTCATGAGCAACATTTTAATGACTGTATACTAATATGCTATTGTATGGATTTACCATAATCTTTTGAAGTATTCTGTCATTAAACATTTGGCTGTTTCTAAATTTCTCGTATGTGGAGTAAGAGCATTTCACATTTATTGAGCACTCTGTATGCCAGGCACTGTTCTACACTTTTATATTATCATTTAATCTTTACACCAACTCTGTCAAGTAGGTTCTTTTATTATTATTACCATTTTACTGATGAAACTAAGCCCAAAAAGTCAACTTGCTGATGGTCATATAGCTAGTGATAGAGCCATGTTCTTATTTTCTAAGTCATACTGCGTAAAGTCTAATCAACACTTTGGTTTCCTAGGGCATATGATTTTAGAAGTTTACAGAAAAATATAAGATTTTTAGCTTAAATTTTAATATATATGTACATAGGTATGTATATATACACACACACGTAGTCTCACATGCCTTGGACATAGCTGGTTTTAAGGTTTCTTCATATAGCCATGTTGATAACCACCCTCCATTCAATGTTTGAATGTGTATGAGTGCCCTTTGACTTCACACTACCTTTTCTCAATTACCATTATGGTTAAAACTTTGTTAATTTAATAGGCAAATAATGTCCAATAAGATTGGAAAGTTTTTTTCATATTTTCTTAGCCTTGTGTATTTTTTATTTTAGTGAATTGTTTTTGTGCCCATTAAGTTCTTGGGGTCCTACTGTTTTTCTAAATCTTTTGCACAGTTAGCTAGTCTTTCAAATGTAGCTATTCTTATATTCTTCATTTGCTAACTAATCAGTGATTTCAAAAAATGATACGTGTATTTTTCTTACCGATTTTAGAAGTAAATGAAAGAAAACCTAGATTTAAGTTTTAGTCTTTTGATCTCCTGATTTGGGGTCTTGAATGGGAGAGTTTCACCTTGTTGATATGGTCAAGGTGGGTTTTCCCCAAAAAATTACAGGCAAGAGACAATATGGGATCTGCTTAACTCATTCAACAAATGTTTAATAGCCTACCACATGCCAAGCACCATGATCAACTCTGAAGGTATAAAGACTAAGGTGGCAGGTGCCTTCTTTAAAGGAACTTGGCATCTAATGGAGGAGACAGATCAGTCAGAAGTCCTTGTAATGAGTGGGGTGATAGAAATGAAAAGTGAATATTGGGGAGGTGGGACCCAGTGGGGAGAGGGATTGTATAGTTCAAAAGTATGTATTAAATCAAGGATAATTTAATGGTGCTGCTTTGTCGAGGACATGGAGAGACTGGCTGTGACAGAGACATACAGGACCAAGGGCAAGTTGGTTTTAGGGTTTCTACTCACTAGCGGTCTGGTTCTGGCAAATGAGCTTGCAGTTACTGAGCTCCAGGGAAACACCTGCTGCTAGCTGTGGGGGTGCTTATTTTGGAGCAAAGTGTTTGCCAGAAGCACCGCATTTGAGCAATCATGTAAACCCAGATAATACTGATTAAAGAGAGTTCCCTCCCCACATTCCCAGCTCTCAAACAGGGTAGACTTTGTTGAAAGACACTGCCCTTCAGATTTGTCAGGGTAGCCCTGATGCTATCTTTACTCAGCTGATGTCAAGTGAGCTTCGGGCCAAGTTTCAGGATTTGACCTCAGTCCCGTGATTGGGCTTTTCTGGGTATCTGCAAAGTCTGAAGTGGCTCTCAAAGGGTCTTCTCTAGGGCAGTAGGCCTAGATAGGAGATCATGGAGAAGCTTCGGTCCACATCTTCATTTCCTGTTAGTGTGATGGGATTGAGACAGACGCCTCACAGTCTTTCATGGGTTGCAGCATTTTGATGGCCAGAGTCTCCAGCATTCAGGTGATTCAGTTTTTACTGGGTATGTTATACAGTGTCTTCATTAACCTCCAAAAGTGACGGAGAGCAGTGAGCTGAAGGGAAGGAGTGCAGTTCACCTCCTCCTGGTGAGAGCTGCTCTGCCCCAGGAAGTCACAGTGGCTCAGCCATTCTCAATCGCCAGTCCTTGAAGCAACAGCCGAGCATCCGCTTCCCACATGGTGCTGTTTTGCCCTGCCAGGTTCTAGTTCCCTGTGAAAGTGGGACTCAGAAATCTTATGTGGGTCAAAATACTTCATCTCGTGCTTCAGGTTTACTCAGTTTGATAGGGTTTTATTGCTAGCAGCCATCCAGTGTTGCAGTTCTCATTCTTAAGAACATCTGTGTACTCCTTAAGCACCTCTTTATGCTCTAAAATATCTACATAGGCTAATTTTCCCATGTGTGAAAATGTCAACTGCTGAAATATTTCTACAGACCTCTGGCTTCTAGGGTGTGGTGGCATCAGATTTTAGGGAAATTGAAAGTCACCAGCTCTAAGGTACTGGAAAACGTTTCCAGAATAAGAAATGTGGCTTTGTTGCTTGATTATTCTCCACAAAAAAGCTTTCTGTTATCATTTAAGATGTTTATGTGTAGCAAAAAGTACAATGAGAAGAAATGAAAAGGGGTGTTGGGAGTGTGGGGTGTAAAACGGAGCCTGGGTGCAACCGTGAACTGCTCTGCTAGAGGCTGCCTTTGACTTAAAGGTAAGAAAATGAACCTGTAAATAGGCCTGGGCATGAGACCTTGGGAGGGAGAGAGGAGCAGAAGGGTACATTTGTTGTCAACTCACCAAATCTTGTCCATTTTGTTCCCTGAATATCTCAGTGAATGCCCCACTTCTTTATCTACTGCCCTGGGGCTTTCCTTCTCCATTTCTCATATTATTCACTTCAAAAAGCAAACTGAACCCAGCCTCACCACCCGCTTCATCCTTTCATTGGTGAGCTCTCTAAGTTGCACAGTGGATTTTCTCTGAATAAAATTTTTCTATGCCTTTTGTTGCCTGTGGGATAAAATACAAACTTAACCAAGACTAGCAATGGTCCTTGATATTCTGTGCCCGGCTTACTCCTCTGGCCTCATGGCTTTTGTGGACATAATCAGTCATACAGAACTTCATGCAATTTCTGAAGTAAGGCAAGCTGCTGCGTTTGCTTGGAACGTCCCCTTCCATCTTAGGCAACTAATGCTGAACCTTCAACTCCCATATCTCTAGGAAGCCTTCCATGCATACCCCCAACCTGGGTGGGATACCACTTCTGTGATGTGCAGAATTTTCTTTCCTTTTTTTTTTTTTTTTTTTTGAGTCAGGGTCTTACTCTTATCTAGGCTGGAGTGCAATGGCGCGATCATGACACACTGCAGCTTCAACTTCCCCAGGTGCTCAGGTGATCCTCACACCTCAGTCTCCGAGTAGCTGGGACTTCAGGTGTGCGCCAACACACCCAGTTTCTTTCTTTCTTTCTTTTTTTTTTTTTTTTTTTTTTTTTTTTTTGAGACAGAGTCTCCCTCTGTCGCCCAAGTGGTGCGATCTTGGCTCACTGCAACCTCCATCTCCAAGGCTCAAGTGATTCTCTTGCCTCAGTCTCCTGAATAGCTGGGACTACAGGCATGCACCACCATGCCCAGCTAATTTTCTTTTCTTTTTTTGTATTTTAGTAGAGATGGGGTTTCACTCTGTTGCCCAAGGTGGTCTCGAACTCCTGAACTCA